GTTATTTATGTATTAAGGGCATAATTAGCGAGATTATGACACGAGGGAATGTTTAAAGCCCGACGAAGGAGGGCTTTTAATTTCTCTAGGGCTACAATCGACAATTATGCCCGTGGTACATATATTCTATTTTAGTTTCTAAAATATTTTTAACGAAATATTGAGTATAGATTGTGTGAATTGTGCCGTTGTAAGGATACCACGTTGTTTATTTGTTAAATAAGTCAGTCAGGGAATGATTTGATGAAATATTATTTTCCCAACTTTAATAAAAATGTTGAATATCGAAGCTTGCTTGAATAATTAATTAAACTAAACGAATAATCAATCGTAGCAATTTTTGACTGACTTTGTACCATAAAAGCCAATTTATACCCGCGTTTGGGTGCTTATAAACAAGATTATGATTTTAAAACAGAACAAATACCTTGAATGTTTCGTGTGCAATTTCCATAATCTCGTGTAATTTGCGCCCCCACGGCACAGGGACTGCGGGGGTGTTATTTATGCCTTGGTTTTTACTTTATAGAGGTTACCACAAAACAAACATCTTAAAATTTGGTTTTATAATTTTTCAAAGAAGCAAGATTTTTTTTATTGTCTATAAACATCCTACATGTATTTGTTAAAGGATCTAGTTTGTTTAGTTCATTAAAGACACCAAATTAAAGACATATTTATCAGATTTCTTTTAAATAAGCTCTGTAATTTATATTGTTGTCAAAATTAAATGAATCACGTCCTGAAAAGATTTGACGAAAGTGATACTTACAGAACATGATTGTAAACATGATTTCATTTGTTCAGATATTGCGTAATAAAGACCTTCGACTTCTTGATCATTACCATATCAACATTGGCAATGACATTTTAATTTAACGAAAAATTTTTGCATACAATCTAAATTTTATTTTGCTCTGAATGTTGAATACTGGATCATCACACCCACCACTAATAAATCGTAAAACAATAGCAAATGACACTGATCCTGCTCTTTAACCTAAAAAAATTTCTTTGAAAATTGCTCTATAAATAAGTCTCCGATAAATAACTATAATGTTTATCAAAAGTGTTTTTCTCTTTCGTTAAACGTAATTGACTGCCATAATGTAAGCCACCAATGAAACTAACTACAGTTAAACTTAATTTATTATTTATTTAGGCCGATGGATACCGAATCAATCGCAATTACTGGAATTTCTGGTCGTTTTCCTAACTGTTCCAACATCGAGGAACTTCAAAAATCTCTCTTCGACGGGGTAGATCTGGTGACGAGTAACCACAACAGGTGGTCTTATGAAGCTCTAGACACCTCCCACCGTTTAGGTTTGGTTCATGACTTTGAGTACTTCGATGCTGCTTTTTTCGGAATAAACCCGAAAGAAGCCAACGTGAATGATCCCAGACTTCGAAAAATTCTTGAAGCTACCTACGAAGCCGTCATAGATGCTGGTCTAAATCCTGCAGAACTACGTGGAACCAAAGTTGGCGTTTTCATGGGAATCAGTCCAAACGACATTTCCGATCTCAATTACCAAGGAGGAATTCTGGGACGTTCAGCTGCTATCATGGCGAACATAGTTTCTTACTGCTTCGACTTCAAAGGGCCAAGTCTTGCCGTCAATACGGCTTGTTCGAGTGCACTTTTTGCTTTTAACCATGCTGTTGAGAGCATGGTGTGTGGCAGATGCGATATTGCCATTGTAGGAGCCGTACAACATCAAGTAGATCCAGCTGAGAGCATCGAGCTCTTGAAATATGGGGTACTTCACAGAGAAGGCATTTGTAGACCATTCGATGCCAACAGAAAAGGCTACGTAAAATCAGAAGCGATTGCTGCAGTAGTTTTGCAAAGAGTCGAGAACAGTAAAAGAATTTATGCTACAATTGCTGCCTGCGGTACTAACGTAGAAGGTTTCAAAAGAGACGGCATGGCACATCCTTCACATAAAATGCAGAAAGCAATGTTTGAAGATGTTCATGCACAGTTTAAAATCGATCCTTTAGAAATCGATTACGTGGAAACGCATTGCACTGGAACCATTGTTGGAGATGTGGAGGAGGTTGAAGCCATTGACGACTTTTACACCAAAGGTAGAAAAACTCCACTGTTGATTGGTTCGATTAAAGGAAATTTAGGGCATACTGAAACTACGTCGGGTCTTGTGTCTTTGATCAAAGTGATATTTGCAATACGAGAGGGCATGATTCCAGGCAATTTAAACTACAAAACTCCAGATCCTCAAATGAAAGGCGTTATTGAAGGACGGTTGAAGGTGAGTTGAAGTTATATAAGTTTACTATTTATGTTTGTCTTATCGTTCAAAAGTAGTAGGTTTAGTGACGAAGTTGACATGTACTTTCTTCTAAAAGAGAACAGATCATTTTGATAATTTTAGCTACTTTGATTATGAATACTATATATATGACGTCTAGAATTTTACCCATTTTTAATAACATTGGAGATAATTTTGTTCGCAAAACGTGGACAAATCGAGAAGCCGTTAGCAGCTGTTTCCTGAGGCATCCAAATTTTTGCAAAAAATCGAAATTGTATTGAAACTTTTTCTGCGAGCAGTGTTGCTGAAGGTTACAGTGGTCACGTGTACTCGTATCATGCTTGCTTTCAAATATGTGACATGAAAATCGCGAATGTTTGAATGCGGCATTTTTTTTTTGTTTTTTATACTATTCCTGCTATTAATTATATTTTCTGGAGAAAAAACGAGTGTGTTTATATAATAATTAATTAGTTCCCTCGTTTATGTTGAGGAGACCAAAGCAATCAAATTTCAGTTTCTCACACATATGCATATTTTGATGCTGGCGCTGATACGACGTATGAACGTATATATAAACACAAACAGTCGGAGTTAAACAAGAAATAGGAATTAACACATTTTTTCCCGTTGGTTATCTGCTTTAAATATATTTCATATTCTCCGCACGTGTACAGACTGCGTTCCGTTGGAATTTGCGCCCTCGAAGTACTGTATAAATAAATAATATATGAGGAAACTATAGAAACTAGCCAAATTTATTTCTTCTTCACGTTCCTCAAAAGGAGTTTTTGTTTGGTTCAAATGTTACGGAAATACTCCCATTTGAAATGTTAAAAACCTTTGTCTTACACTTAAACATTGCAGGTTATTGACAAAAATACACCTCTTCCCAATGGTCTAATAGTAGTAAACGCCTTTGGATTCGGTGGTGCTAATGCGATGGTTATTTTGCGACCTTATAAGGAACGCAGACAAGTCACCAACAGTTTAAGTCATCGCTTGGTTCATGTTTCTGGACGAACAGAGCAAGGTTTAGAACTGATGTTAGAAACAATTATAAAGAACAAAAACAACAAGCAATTATTGTCATTGATTGATAGTATCTATCACAAGCCAATCGATAACCATAATCATCGAGGTTACGCCGTCTTATCCAAAGACAGCCACTATCACATTAATCAATCATCATCCAAAAGACGTCCGATATGGTTCCTTTACGCAGGTTTCGGCTCTCAGTGGCCTGGAATGGCCAAGGACATGATGAAGATTGATATTTTCCGTAATACAATCAGAAAGTGTGCAGAGGCCTTAAAACCTTACGGTATTGACTTGGAAGATGTTGTGGTGAATGGTACAGAAGAAACGTTTAATGACCTTTCAAAAACTTTTCCGGCGATTACGGCAGTCTCTGTGGCTTTGACTGATGTTTTGGTAGCCATGAATATTAAACCCAATGGCATCATTGGCCATTCTTTGGGCGAAGTTGGTAAGTTTACCTATTCCACACAGTTAATTATTAAAGTTGCATTGACGTTAATCTTAGGTTGTGCTTACGCTGACGGTTTGATAACGCCTGAAGAAGCGGTATTGCTTTCATATTCTCGAGGATACGCCGCTGTTAGTGCAGAATTGATACCTGGTGCTATGGCCGCCATTGGACTTCCTGCAGAAGAATGTTCAAAAATTCTACCAGAAGGTGTATACATAGCGTGCGAAAACTCAGATGACAATGTTACAATTAGTGGTCCTCGAGAAGTTATTAAAGACTTTTTGGAAAGTCTCTCTACTAGAGGAGTCTTTTATCGACTTATAAACAACGCGAATTATGCCCTTCATTGTCCACACCTGGCCCCAGCAGGCCAAAAGATGTATGAAATTGCAAAGAAAGCATTGCCTGGAGTTAAGCCAAGAACAAAACGGTGGTTATCTTCCGCTTTTCACGAAAATGAGTGGAATACAGAAATAGCGAGGCACAACTCGGCCGAATATCATTATCATAATTATATGCACAAAGTTCATTTCGGTCAAGTGTTAAAGTATATACCTAAAGATGCTATAGTTATTGAAGTAGCACCCAGAGGTTTACTTCAAGGTATTTTAAAGAGGGCACTTGATCAAAGCGTCATGTTGATTTCTTTATTAAAACCTGGTGTTGATAATATTGACTTTTTCTTGTCGAGTGTTGGAAATTACTACAACAATGGAGGGCAATTAGATTTATCAAATTTTTACAAACCTGTAAAATTCCCTGTTAGCATCGATACTCCGATGCTTGCTAGTTTGGTTAAGTGGGATCATAGAGTAAAGTGGCATGGGTTAAGATACAATGCTGGAAGTTCATTTGGTAGCCGGGTTGACATTGATATGTACGAAAAGGAAAATCATTTCTTGGAAGGACATATTGCGGATGGACGAATCATTCTTCCAGCTTCCGGATATATTGTAAGTCAAAAACTAAAGTTATATGAAAGCCAAAATAGTTCATCTAAAAGTCATTTTCACTTCTTGTAGGTTTTAGTTTGGGAATCATTTGCGAAAATGCTAGAAACAACACATACAAAACTACCTGTAGTGTTAGAGAATGTCAAAACCTTGAGACCAATCCTCTTGCTTCCGAACGAAACTACTACCATTATTATAAATATCTTCAAGTCATCTGGATATTTTGAAATTTGTCTTGAGAGCGATGAAGAGCATGTGCTATCATCAGGTAGAATTATGGTTCCAGAAGACATTGAGAAGGAATTTTTAGAATATTCGTCTTTACCTAAAACTAACCAGTATAAATTAAAAATTAGTCGAGATGAATTCTACAATTCCATGCGTCTACGGGGCTTCGATTATAGTGGTATTTTCATGGGTGTGCAACAGTGTGATATAGACGGAAGAACGGCAAGTTTAAAATGGAACAATAACTGGATCGCGTTTATGGATAGCATGGTTCAATATATTTTAAGCATAGAAGCAACAGGACACAGTTTGCCTACTATATTTGATAAAATTGTTATTAATCCTTTGGAACATTTGAAATCTGTTAATTCCAACTCTAATGTGACTTTGAATTATGATAAAGATTTAAATGCTGCTAAGTGTGGTGGTATTGAAATAAGAAACATATATGTTACGAATGTTAGAAGACGTGCAACAGATATTCCACCAACTTTAAGAAAATATACTTTTGTACCTAATAATGATACTCAGAAAGAAGTCGATCCTTTCTATCACAGCGTCGATGTGGCTACACAGATCGTAATCGATAATTGTATGCAAGACCTGAACTTGGGAATTGTAGAAATTGGATCAGATAATGCCATTCCGATCCTCAAATCAAATATCGACAGAGAAAATTTGAAAAAAATTACTTTCAGTCAAGTGGATACTATTGATAAAATATCCACCGATTACAATTTGATAATCGCATCGGACGAATTATCATTAAAAAATATTGAAGCGTACATGAAACGAGCAGAATTCGTCTTTGCTAAAGTTCAAAATATTGAAAGCAAAGAGGTTGATGTGATTTACCAACATACTTCAAAGTCAGGTAGCTACATTTTAATGCGGCGTCCCAAGGAAGCTCCAGAGAATAGTACCATCATAGTAGCAAACAACAACAACTACAATTGGGTCAGAGACTTAAAATTGGCTGTAAAAAAGCACAAAGCTCCTGGTTCTCGAATTTACCTAATAAATGAAGATTTCAATTCGGGAATAATAGGTCTTTTTAACTCGATTCGCTTGGAACAGTACTGTTCCAATTTGAGAGTGTTTCTCCTAAGAAGTTATGATAAAATTGAACCGTTTTCACTTAAATCTGATTTCTATTTACCACAAATTAGAAAAGATTTAACTGTTAACATTTATCAAGATGGTTGTTGGGGAACATATCGACGACTTCCTCTAGAAACGTTCCAGCCCACTTTGATGTCAGATGCTTGTCTCATCAAAGATAATAAAGAGATAAAGTGGGTCCAAAAATCACCATATCAGAAACAAAACAACATATTTGTTCATTGTGCTAGTATCAGTAAATGGGATTCTTTGGTAATCAACGAAAAAGCTGGACTGGATGTAGAAAACACTGTCCTTTTGGGTTTGGAGTTTTCTGGAGTTGATAACAATGGAAACAATGTAATGGGGATAGTACCAGGAGGGGCTTTATCTACTAAAGTGGAAGCACACCCAAAACTCACATGGAATTTCTCGAACAAGCTGTCATTCGAAGAGGCGACAACAATTCCCTTGGCTTACACTCTAGTAAGTGTTGTTAAAACTCGTAGGTACAGTAAATAATTTTTTTTCTTTTAGAGCTACTACAGTTTGTTTATACAAACATATCTATCACCCAACGATTCTATTCTTGTTCATAATTGTACAAGTGATCTCAGTGTGGCGGCTACAGCGTTAGCTCTAAATAGAGGTTGCAAGGTGTTTGCTGTTGCCGATTCATCTCAACGGAATGTATTAAAACTTATGTTCCCAACGATAGACGACAGCAATATAATTTCACATTTCAAAGGTAGTTCATTTAGCAAAACACTTATGAAGAAAACAAATGGCAAGGGAGTTAATGTAATTTTCAACTGTAACTCCATAGAATTATTAAAATTATCAAAGAAGTGTGTTTCAAAAAATGGTCGGTTTATTGAGGTGGCCAACAGCATCATGGATTTCTTAGTAGCAGATGATTTAATGGAAAAGAACTGCTCTTTCCACAACATCAGCATTGCAGAGCTCTTTGAAGAAAATGAAGACACGCTTGATATGATCGCCACTGATATTGAAAAATACATAAAAGACGGCGTCGCTGTTCCTCTTAGATATTCCGTCTTCGATAAAGACAACATAGAAACCGCTTTGAAGCATTTTGAAGAAAAGGGTCACACGACGAAGTGTTTAATAAAGATTAGAGAAAACGGAAGATTCTTTACGAAACCGGACAAAAGAGTACTTGCTTATAAGCGCACTTATCTTGATCCAAATAAGTCATACATAGTTATAGGAGGTTTAGGAGGATTTGGTTTTCAGTTGACGAAATGGTTAATCGAAAGAGGTGCCACTAAATTGGTTTTAAATTCTCGCAATGACGTTCGATCTGGATATCACGCATCATGTTTGCAGAAGTGGAACAATCAAGGACTGATTGTTTTGACGAACACCTCTGATACGAGTACTCTTGAAGGAGCAGAAAGTCTTATAAACTTTGCTTCGAACTTGGGCCCCGTCGGAGGTGTATTTAACACGGCTCTTCAGGCTCAAGATGAATTCATGACTGATGTAACTCCAGACGATTTCGTGGCTGTAGCGGCGTCAAAAATTTTCAGTGCCCAAAACATGGATATAATTTCACGGAAATTCTGCAAACAATTGGACTATTTCATTATGTTCTCGTCTATAGCGTCAAGTATAGGTAATCCCATTCAAGGTAACTACGCATTCGTCAACTCAGCAGTAGAACGTTTATGTGAAACACGAAAAGCAGAAGGATTACCTGCTTTAACTATTGAATGGGGACCTCTTGCGGATGTGGGTATTTTAGTAAGAATGAAGTTGAGTGTTCAATATTTAGAAACTCAACGTCAGAAACTATCTTCTTGTATGGAAGTTCTGGATCACTTTATACAGCAAAGTGAACCGGTTGTGTCCAGCTGTGTTTACGCTACTAAAGACGAAGAAGTTTCTGAAAAGAAAACGTTGGTGGAAAAAATTGCGAATTTGTTTGGTATCAGAGATGTGGATGAGATTGAAGATTCTAAAACTTTACTGGAACTGGGTATGGATTCGCTGCTTGGATTTGAAATTAAACATATTCTGTCTCAAGAATCGGGTGTAGAAGTCAATGTTAACGATATCAGAAATCTGACTATTGAAAATATAAAGAGCATGTCAACATAGATTCGTTAATTACTTAAAACGTTAATTGCTCCTTGCTGATGATAATTAAGTAGGTATATGGTATTCAGAATTGTAATTTGATTCAAACGTTCAGAAAATGCTGTTTTGTTAAATTGTAGAGTAATAAATGAAATGAAATCTTGGCATTTGTTTTACTCACATATATATGTATACCGGGTGTCCCACGTAACACTTTCGGTCGTAATAGCTAAGTATTTTTGAATGGATTGTTATGAAATTTGAATTATAGGTATTTTGATAAGTGAGGATTAATATGAACCTGTGAGAATAATCATTATCTTGCAAAAGTAGATTTTCCATGCCTTAATTTAATTTTGAATTAATTAAGTTTTGCATCACTTGATTAAACATGAAAATAAATACTGTATGCAAAAATTCATCTCTGAAATACGTCTGGTTAGACAAAAAACGATAAATTATTATTGGTCAAATAATTCCAAAAAGTATTAAAGGATAGGTAGCTATGAAACAAAAAACTGCATTCCTCGCATTTTGGACACCCTTGCGGGAATTTGATACCTGTTTGCCAAACGTTATTTTATGAATTTTAAGAAAATACTAATTTTCAGTTGCTCGGCTACAACCTTTTCGACGGTGCAAAATTACTGAAAAATTCTAAATCATCTGAACATGATGTTAATTTATTCTTAAGTAAGACATTTTCCCACCGCACTAAAACAAGCCATAGTAATTTCACTTCACAAAAAAAAAAGATCGTCATGTAATCTTTAATTATAGAACAATTAGCAAACTCTTGTGTCATTTTTAAATAAATACGAAATAATTGATTCCTCCTAACATGGTTTTACAAAGGGCAAAAACTTAGACACTGCATTGGCAGATTACTTTGGCCAAATATCCCAGTGTATGGACAAAAATATCTCTTGCCTTGTATTGTTTGTAGATTTTACAAGAGCTTTCGACTGCGTAAGTCATGAATTATTGCTTCGTAAGTTAGAACGCGATGGGATAAGGGGTACAGCCTTACAGTGGTTTCATTCATATCTATCAGACAGAACTCAAAAGTGCTTGTATATAAATAGCACTCTTTCTACAGAATCGACTGTCACTATCGGAGTACCCCAAGGATCAATTCTCGGACCGACTCTGTTTATAATTTTTATTAATGATTTATTAAAATTGGTAAAGACGTTAAACTGCACTGTTATGTCCTGCGTTGACGATACCAACTTCATTATTACTGGTAGATGTTGATGTTATTATTAGAAGGGCACAGGAGGTATTTTAACTAGTGCAACAATGGGTCAGTAAAAACAAACTATGTATAAACAAAGAAAAACGCGCATTTGCAATTTTTACTAATATGACAAACTTTGAGGATGTTACGCTGAATTTAAATAAGACGCTTGTTAAGTGCTCCAACTCTATCAAACTATTAGGAGTCGTTTTTGACAACCATTTAAAATGGTTTCTTTATATAGATCAATTATGCTCCAAATTATCTTCGGTTTGTTATGCACGCAAGAATGTAGCAAGACAGTGCAATTATTTTACAGTCAAACAACTATACTTTGCTTGCTTTCAAAGTCTTCTAACATATGGCATCATTCACTGGGGGCACTCTCCTGACTTTCAAGGAGTATTTATTTTACACAAATGGGCAATTAGGATCTTAGCCGGAATAAAAAGTATGCATTCTTTTAGGTTCGCTTTTAAATAGCACGGAATCTTAACATTACCAAGCTTATATATCTACGAAATTTTATGTTACGCATGTAAAAATATAAAAAAATATTAACAAGTTCAGTCAAACTCGAACAGATCATGAGTTTAATACTTGCCAACTCAACACAAAACAGCCCATTTTCAAAGAAGTTTACATTTCAATCGTAGTAAATTTTTTAACATGATTTAAATTTGCCCCTGAAATTCTGCTCTTTAATTACTTTTTGGCAATGAGAATTTCTCAGTGGATAACTAAGAATTACATCTTTTATGCTACGTGAACACACTTTTCAGCGTTCAGTTCTTTAAGTTTATATTTTCCGGTGTTGTGGAATGATTATATGATGTGGTTTTGCCACTGCGTTTTATTATTGAACATGTTTTAAAGGCAATTTTAAATTTGGTTTTTATTTAATTGTCAAAGTGGTAAACTTAGCCTGACTTACAGTTGTTAGAGATAATTTAATTATTTATTTTTATGTAAATGCTTGCCGTTTTCTCTGTTGTCATTCTCCTAACTAACGTGTTGGGAAGATGGCAGCTACTGACTTAGTGTCATTTTCATTAATTTGCCTTCTGGAAATTTCCTTGAAAATTATTATCAATTATGAAATTATACAGTTTGTTAAACTATAATCAAAACAAATTTCGGGAAACGTTGAAGCATTTTATTAAAACTTCTGATAAATATTGAAATAAAAACTTAATTATAAAACATCAAAACGTAGAAATTGCTATAGGTTTTTCAAGCACTTTGGAATTCTCTTTGCAATTTTTGTTGTGTTTGAAAAAAAATAGTCAATAGCCAGTTGACATTAAACATTTCGTTGTAAAGGTAATAACCCAAGCAACCTTCTGGAAGTTCGAATTCCACTTAGCAGATAGGCGTCACCTTAAATGACAGGTTTAAACAAATTATAAGTCCATCGAAAAATATTTCGTGCATAAAATTTTCAGCTTAAAATCCTAAATACGGCAGAAAGTTTGAGCAATTTGTTAGGATTACCTGCCACAAATAATCTAAGATTTCGGTCTCAACTCAGATCCCGGGTATGATCATCAGTTGTTCATTAAGGTTAGCTTGTCTGCTTTTAGCTCACGTTCTCAGAGGCCCATCCTTCAGATAGTGGCGTGCATGTCACTAAACGTAAGTTAGGGGTAGGTTACAAGGGTTCATTCTAAATCTCCAAGCAAATTAAAATCGGAGAAATACGTGCGATTTTTTTCAAATCCCTTCTGTTGATGCTACATGCTTGTTATACTTTTCCGGAAAAACGTATTCCGGGCTGACTGTTATCGACCTGGATGACACATGCATTACGCAGTTTATGTCTGCTGTAAAAATTTGTAAACAATGTTGTCAACAAAGCAAATGAAGCAGTGATCGATAAGCCGCTTTCAAATACTGCTTTGGAGATTTATATCACATTTTACGCTCACTCGCTTGTATGGTGTTAAACATCAGAGAGAGGTATTAAGTGAATAAGTCAACCAGGATATTAAAGAGAAGTTAACTTTGTATAAAATGAAAATAAATGTTACTGAATACGGGTTTCTGGAAATAATTGAAACGATTTTTCAAACTGTGGAGTATCGGCATCCATTTCCTGTTCTGCTTATGATTTCACTAAATCCTACCATTTTGTTTATTTTATTAAAACACTAATAAATATGTATAGTTTGAATTAATTCAGTAAAAACTGAACTTCAAGACTCTTATAAAAAGTTACTGGAAGTCCCAGCACTGAAAAGGAGAGAAAAAATAGGGCATGATTATGGGCCAAAAATTTAAAGATTTAAATAAAAGTTACAAAGAAAATGGAGAATTTTAGCAATTCACTGTATTACATATAAAAAGAAATTTATAATGCAACAATAGAGAGGAAAATATTAATATTATTATTAATAATAATAATAATAATAATAAACTTTATTTTCAACAGGTAATTCACCCAATAACAGGAAATAATATAAAAAACACAAATATGTCATACAATGTACAAAATTTAGAAAAGGTACGTACAAATAAACAAAAATGCTATTAAATGAAAATTAGACAATAATATAGTTTGTAGATTTAAATAGCAATGTTTCGTCATTTAAAGATCAAGAGAAATAAATGACTGGGAAATGTCATAAATGGGTTCTACAGGTAGCTAGTTTTTTCCAACATCGTAGCTTTTTCCATAGAAAACTCCACGGCCGAATATCCAGGCAATGCATGGAGATTTTGAAATTCTGTAAACCCCATTGTTTTTAGTTTGAAGGAAAAGCTTAATTTAGTAGGTACATTGCAAATATGGAGTTGGTATCGCGACACTAACATATATTTTTACGTCCTAAAAGTGTAAACTAAGGAAATATGGTAATCGGGTACGTCGGACGACTCGGTTACTTTCATATTTTCTCGGTATGTCATTACCCCTAGATTACGAAAATATAGGTCTCCCATTTCCAACTGCAAAACTTATTAATGCTTTAAAATCTTGGAGATGTTTTAAGGTTATTATAACATAAACGTGGTAAAAACTGATGACGTCACTTCAAAATATTGCTGAATGCTTGCGATTAATCACTGTAGTTTTTAGATATGCCTACAGAGTGTCTCAAAAAAAATTAATGACTGAGTTAATTTATTTTATTAATTAAATCAAGAATTTATTACGAATATTGGATAATAATGCTCCTTTTACCCATGAATGTGAAAATTCATTGAAATGATTACAAAAAAATTGTATTTGTAGTCGCATCGTAGGCTGTCACATTATCGATGTGAACGTATTACAAATAGAAATGTAATGTGCCAATAAGACAATCGGGTTTATTTCGGATCCGCTTTGTGCGATTGTTATCATTACTTAGTTTGCTCGCAGGAAGCAGTTATTATTAAACTCACTTTGTTTGAGGGAATGATTGGGCGTAGCGCCGATAATAACAATGTTCCTTTGTAAGTCGGCAATAAAATTACGGAAACATTTCATCGCAGTAAGTCGTTGAATAATTTCGAGAAGATATTGAAAAGATTTCCAACAATTCAGCACAAAAGCATGAGCTGTCGATATCCCACAAAGGCTTTCAAGAGCAGAAACTGTTTCACGCTGCAACCCTCAGATCCGCGCTTCAACTCCGCTTTGTAACCATAATCTGATTAAACCAACAAAGTTTTTTATAGGCGCGCGTATCGGTTATGTTGCTTGCGAACAGCTACATGAAATGATTCTTTTAAGTTCGGACGTGTCAGAGACTTGATTTTCCGACAACATTGTAACGATTTTCCGTGGAAAAATTCCGCT